TGTGTGTGTGTGTGTGTGTGTGTGTGTGTGTGTGTGTGTGTGTGTGTGTGTGTGTGTGTGTGTGTGTGAGTGTGTGTGTGTGTGTGTGTGAGTGTGTGTGTGTGTGTGTATGCAATTTACCATAACTTACATCTAACCATTTAACAGGCTTTTACAGTATAATTTATAAGCAGTCGTGAAGGCAAATGAAACCATGCTTTAGTTCTGATCTATCAGTCATGACAGTGTAAAGATCTCAGTCAGTGAATCTCACAGCGTTGTGTTGAAACGTTTTCCTCTTGCAGGTGAGAAATGCAGAAGCTTCATAAACGTGGCTCCTCCTCATGAGAGAGGTACGTCTGTCACTCTTCATTATGAACTCTGTGGAATATTCAGATTATGCATGATGTTTAAAATAGGGTGGCGCTCAGCTCCTCGGTGAAAGCGATTCTCCTGATGTCCGCTCTTTTATTTTGCACATGCTCTCTGGAGGTCCAGTCACTTTTAATCAAGCTTGATTTTATTAATCTTTCTAGCAGCCGAACACCTGCCTCATTCTCATTCGTGCAGATTTATGAACATGTCAATACAGTCTCATTCCCTCCGCAGGCAGCACCAGGATCTTTAGCATGATTGTTTCTGAGTATAATTGATAGATGCACGATCCAGACTAAAGATCCATCAGATATAATGATAGTTAATCATGACGATGATGACACAAGGTGACTCCTCACTGTAATTCAGCTCATTGTGCTGTGACTCTGACAGAACTAAAGTCTAAATCAAGAGTGAGAAATAATCATCTTTAGGTTTTATATCCCAGAAAATGAAATGCATGTATCAGTATAATTCTTGTAGATTATAGAGTTTTATTATCTGTGCTTATGCATTATGATTAAGTCACTCTGTGCTTGGGTGATACATGTACAGTCCATACATATATGGGTCAATGACAACTACGAGTGCCCACCATAAATCATATATCTATATATAGAAGTTAGTACTTTATGACACATTAAACTAATCAAAAGTGACAGTATTATTTCAAATCTGTGAATCCTGAAAAAATGAAACGTATCACGGTTTCCACAAAAATATTGTGCAGCACGACTGTTTTCAACATTGATAATAATCAGAAATGTTTCTAATAATCAGCATATTATACTGATTTCTGAAGATCATGTGACGCTGAAGACTGGAGGAATGATGCTGTAAAATTCAAAATATAAAATATTATTCACATAGAAAATAGCTATTTTACATTCTAAAATTATTTCACAATTTTTACTGTATTTTTGATCAAATAAATGCAGCCTTGTTGAGCAGAAGAAACAACACCTTTCTGAAGTATTTCATTATTTTCAGTAAAATGGACAAAACTTTTGTCCCTCACAGCCTTGTTTTCATTTATACCGAGTCTGAAACTATAAAACTAGACAACATCTTCCACACTTTGGCATTTGTGTGAATATTGTCATCATCCTCTCGCTTAAAGTGCATGTGACAGCATGAAGACTTCCTCCGAACTCTATGAAATATGTAGATGCATCCGCATGCTTTCAAAGCTGAGTTCTCCTTTTAAATCTCAGTGTCAAGTTTCTGGTATATAAATATTTCAGCAGCTCCCCGAGTGCATCGTCTCATAATTTCCTCAGGGCCTGTCAGAAACTCCCTCGATACGCATCTCTTCTCTCTCTCATATCCTCAGGTGTTTTGTGGCTCTGCATCGTGGCCGAGTGTCTCTATATCTTACTGCTGGCCACCGGAGGAATCCTCATGTCCATCGAGGTGTGCCATTTTGGAAATGTCATCGAAGGACTGAAACTGAATGCCTTTGCTGCCATATTCACAGTCCTGTCAGGTAACGTGTTGCATTTCTATAACACCAAAACTGAGGATTAAGGGACTATATTTACCTCCTTAAGCTGATTTTCAAGGGGCATTTTTACCTTTATAAGGGCCAATTTTCTAAACTTCTAAACTCTCCGCTTTATAAATCACAATTAAATTAAATTGATATTAACAAAAGCCATCTTTGCTGATATTTAGATGTATTTACGCAGACTGTATAATGCAGCTCAGAGATGCAATGAATGCATTTACACCGCAGTTACAATTGCATAAATAATGTTAAGAGATTATTGCATAAATATACTGAATATAGAACTATGAAATGTTACTTTAAATATGAAACTAAAACCACCAGTAGGTGGCGACAAATCACTGCCTTAATAAGTGGATCATTGATTTACTAATGATTCTGAAATAAAGTGTGTGACTTGCTGATTTTGGAACGATGTACCAGCATAATATTACTATTTCTGCCATAAAAAAATGTGTCCAAAATGCACATCACTACATATTAACTTGAACATGAACAAATTTCATTTATTTATTGCATACCATTGTAGAAAGTATAAAATAGCGATCTGTTAGATCCACATTCAAGACGCATTGTGTTTGATTGACCAATTAAAAAAATCAAAAACAGGTGAAGCAAATATCCCTTTTCTATACTAGCTACTGCAATGCATTAAAGCCCTCTAGCAGCTGTCCTCATAGAGATGCATTACTGGTCGATGTCTATCTACCTGCTGGCTGTCCTCTGCCTGTTTCTTTGTGGCGAATGTCTTTGCATTTATGTGCTATCAGAGCCCTGAGATACATACAAAAACATCCGGCCCAAAATCCCATATAAGCCTCACAGTATTGGTTATCCAGAATAAACAATAAAAATAAGTGATCATGTTTCTGAAGGGTTACTGTAGTGAACGTGGGCTGCACTGTCCGGGATTCTGCTGATTCATGAATTAATGCGGTTAACAAGCGCTTTTTATTGTTATTATTCACTAGTGTGTGTGTTTGTGATGGTGTCTGCATACAGGCGGATCGCTGCGGTTGTCATGGAGACGTGAGGGTTATCGTCAGGCACGTGTGAGGATTCAGATGGACGTGATATTATAAGAGACACACACCACCTTTCGTAGGGAGTCTCTTTCAGCTTGCTGTTGCTGTTTTTCCACTCGATTCTGTGACTCAGCTTTATTGAGTGGATTCACAGCGGCTCAGAATGCAGACTTAGTGAGCTGTAAATAATGTGTAATTTACCTCTGTGCTTGCTATTTCTGGCGAGGTGACTTTGATTGTCCAGACGGCGGGTCTGACGCTGTTGATTATGTCCAGTTTGCCATCTGGCCAGAGCATGCTTCACTTCAACATAATGACAACATTAGGCAGAAAACCTGACATGTGCTGCTGCAGACACTCATTCATTCATTCATTCATTCATTCATTCATTCATTCATTCATTCATTCATTCATTCATTCATTCA